GCCCTGGTTGGTCGTGCGGGTGGCAGCCACTCGATGTGTCCCTTTCACATCGATGTTTCCCTCTCTCTCTTCCTCTCTCTCCCTCCCACTCTGTCTGTACAAAAAATGGAAAAATGTCCTCGAATGAGGATAAAAAAAAAAAAAAAAAAACAACAAAAAAAAAATTGTAGCAATTAGAGAAACTGTTTTACTGCTGTTTATAATGTACATAAATAACTTGGCTTAAGCAAAGTTGTTTGGGAAGGCTGGCTCTTTTTGGAGGGAGGGGATGGGGTGTTTAATTCTAGTAGCCATTCTTGAAGTCATAGCTTGCATTCATCCAAATCAAACAAAAGTATTTGATGTAATAACAGCAGATCTCTTTCTATCTCTGGTTTTGAATTCATATTGTTAAAGTAGTGTGCATTCTTATTTTGCTTTATAGCCACCACTGTAAGTGTTAATGGTAGTTTTCTCCATAGACAAAACAATTTTGTACTGAGCCTTTAAAATTGCCCATTGCCTAGATAGGCCTTATACCATACTCTTGAATAAAAATCCAACTATAAGTCTCCTATACTTGTAAGGCGTTGTAAGAGGGTTAGGGGATAATCCAATCCTTGGACAACAGGGCCTATGAGAATTACTTTCTCTCAAGAAAATAAATAAGGAGTTTGAAGTAAAGATACTGGTTCGTTCCAGCCTTTAACTGAATAAACAGGTTATGAAAAATAAAATCACCTGAGTAATGAGACTTACTGATATACTGTAATTAATCATTTCAACTCTGTAACTAGTTTCTCCATCAATAAATTAAAGTGATTAATTTACCCCTTTACCTTAATGTATTTTCAATTGTTTTTTTTTCTTGTTTTCCCAACACCAAAGTCTATGGCTGTCTTTTAAGACTATATTCATTATTCATCTCCTCTCTCACTCATTCACTTATTCATTTGTTTACTATTTCATTATACCCAGTACAAAGTTGAACTATTATACCAAGCACTAGGGATTCAAGGGTAAACAAAACCGACGTAGTCCCTTCTCTCTTGAAATCTAAAGTCCATTAGAGATGGCCAACATTATTAAAACATATAACATTTCAATTATTTCAGTAATGCTAAGTAATAGATTCTATGAAGACATATAACTGGGGGACCTGATCAAGTCAGAGAGATTAGAAAAGGCATCCTTGAGAAAAGGACCCTTATTCCAAACTCCATAGGACAGGTAGGCCTTAGCCAAAGAAAGAAGAGAGCAAAAGTAATCCATGCAAGAGAACAGCACAGAGGCCCTACAGTGAAAGTGAACATGTTGAACACGAGTAACTAAAAGAAAACTCAATGTGACTGAAATGAAGGGAGCTGAATAATATACAATGAAACTAGAGAGAAAGATAGGCTCTGTAATCATAAAAGGACTAGAAGCAAGCGACTAATGTGATTAGATTTGTGTTCTATAAAGATGACTCTGACTGCAATATAGACATAGATTTGAAAGAGGGGCAGAGTGGTGTGTGAATTAGGAGGCTATTAAATTAGTTTAGGGAAGAGAAATCATAGGTAAACCAGAGTATGGGCATACTGTTTTATTGCACTTCATAGATATCACATTTTTTACAAATTGAAGGCAAGACCCTCCACAAGTGAGTATCACTTTATTGTGGTGATCTGGAACCAAAACCACAGTATCTCCGAGGGATTCCTCTATAAACTACAGTGGAGAAAAGGTAGATCAATTTACGATTAAGTTTGGGTAATGGATTGTGTATGGGAAGTGTATTAGTTATCTATTTCTGTGTTTAAAAATGACCTTAAAACTTAGCAGTTTACAATAAATATAATTTCTGTGGGTCCAGGAATCAGGGTGCAATTTAGCTGAGTGCCTCTGACTCACGCATAATCATAAGGCTGTAGTCAAGGTGTTGACCAGGGATGCAGTCAATTCAAGGCTCAGCTAGGAAAGGATTCACTTCCAAGCCCACTAATGTGGATGCTGATGGCCCTCAAGTCCTCAAGGAACAGCAGTTCCTTGCCACATGAACCTCTCCAGGGGACTGCTCACAAAACAACTTACTTCCTTCAGAGTGAGGACAGAGAAGAGAAGGGAAATCAAAGCAAGGGGGTGAAAGAAGGCAAGCAAAAGAAAGTTGTCTTAGAAATGACATCTCAGCACTTTTGCCATTTTGTCTTCATTAGAGTGAGTCACTAGGTTCACTCCACATGCAAGGGCAGATTACACAGGGGTGCCGCACACCAGAACATGGAGATCACTGGAGGCCATTTTTGAAGATGCCTACCATACAGAGTGAGGAAGAGGAGATGTGTGGTATTAATAAGATTAGAAAGAATGGAAAAGGCCCACATTTGGAGAAGTTTTGGATGGTGAGTTTGAAAGGACCAAGGTGCCTTCAATTCAATCAACAAATTATATGTTTATAAAATACCTACTCTGTATATATCACACATTACTCTAGATGAAATATAATTATGAACACAGAAAAATTCCTTACCCTCATGGAATTTACCTTCTAATTGCTGAAGGCACATGATAAACAAACAAATAAAATTCAGATAATGATAAGGGATAAAAAGAAAATAACATAGGATAAAGTTGTAGGTTTCTCTTCAACTATGGTGTCAAAATTCCCTTTTCAGAGACCCAAGTAAATTGTTAAAAGCCTTAAGATATCTCCTAGAGTCCTCCTGTACTCTCACTGTATTTTTTTGCCTCTCTTACAGCATTTATCAAAAGCTGCTTTGTATTATACTGCAAATCAGCCTTTGTGTTAGGCAAAAAAATTCCACACACCCTCCCAAAAAGATATCTACAGCTACCCTCTGGAACATACTCTATTTGGAAAAAATGTCTTAGCAGATGTGACTAAGTTAAGGGTCTTGCAATAAGGAAATTGCCTTAAATTATCCAAGTGGGCCCTAAATGCCATTACAACTGTCCTTGTAAGACACACAGAGAAGAAGACACATAGAGAAAAGAGGTAGTGTGACCACAGAGAAAGGGATGGAGAAACGCAGGCACAAGCCAAAGAAGGCCAACAGCCACCAAAAGCTAGAAGTTAAGAGCAAATTCTCCTCTAAAGCCTCTAAAAAGAATGTCACCCTGCTAATACCTTCATTTTGGGCTTCTGTTCTCCAGAACTGTGAGAGAATTTCTGTTGCTTTAAGCCACTTTATAATAATTTGTTACAACGGTCACAGGAAACTAATATACCCTTTCCAATGTTATTTCCTATTACTTGATTCATGGCATTTATCACAAGTTGTAACTTCTTGTTTCTTCACTTGTTTATTGTGTCTGACCCCATCAATAATGTAAATTCCAAGAAGATGAGGGCCTTTCCTGTGCACTTAGCTCTTAGCATAATGTCTAGAATATATTGCATTCTGAAGAATTCTGTTAAATGAATGAATAAATACTCCTCCATTAGTTAACAGGTTTTTTTTTTATTATTATTATTATTTATTTTTTTATTCACACCCTGAGGATATTTTTCCATTTTTTGTACAGATAGAGTGGGAGGGAGAGAGAGGAAGGGAGAGAGAGAGAGAGAAACATCGACGTGAAGGGACACATCGAGTGGCTGCCACCCGCACGACCAACCAGGGCCGGGGACAAACTGCAACCGAAGTACGTGCCCTCAGCGGGAACCGAACCCGGGTCTCTCTGTACCGCAGGCCGACGCTTTAACCGCTGAGCCAAACTGGCCAGGGCAGTTAACAGGTCTTATAAGACAAAGACCGTGTCTATTGACCATAATTCCAAAACCCTCAGCCTTGCCAAAAACTGTTGCTGAACTAGATTTGAGATCTATAAATCAGGAAGTCTTGATTCTAGATAGTGTACTGCAATTTACAGCTATGGGATAGTCCCACCTCTATCATGTATGCATCCAGTATTTGAAGAAGTAAGTTTGTTCCTTATCTGCTCTTCTTAGTCCTGATAAGGAGCAAATCCAGACAGCATTCATTTTAGCACCCTGTTTACGATCCACAGTGCTTAGCACATTGTAGGAAAAACAAGTCTTTGAGACTTTTGGGTGAATTAGAGTATCAGGCTAAGTCATAACTGAAAGTCAACATTGCATCCTTGAGTAAATGCCTAATCAACTCTGAATTCCTAATAATTTCTAATATACTCAACTGAAAGGTTGAGAACCTCAATATTCTCAAATAACCCTTACCTCACAGGATTGTGAACCTATGAACGTCTTGGCCTATAGTGGCCCTAGGAGTGGTACCTGATTATTAGTAACTCTATGCCACTAACCTAGCTCATCCTTGAGTACAGCATCAGAACTGAGCTCCAAACTAGCTCCATTACTTCTTGGCCATGTGATGTTGGGCAAGCTATTTTACCTTTCTGAGTCACAGTCCCTTAGCTCAAAACTGACAATAATATCTACTTTGTAAAAGCAGTTCTGACATAGAAACTCAATGAAGTAACCAAAGAGTTAAACTCAGAAAGCCTGTCTCAATAATGTAATTACTTTAAGAAAACAAAAACAACTTTGGCTTTTCAACATGTGCAGTGATCTTGAATAAATACTCGCACATCCATGGGTCTTCAAAAATAATGAAAGCGGCTACCAGACCCTATTATTGCCTCAACCAATGCAAGTTTGGGAACCTTCGAACTAAAGCCCACGTGAGGGTTCCAAGATTCCATTACTTCCTTTCAGCAACCTACCAGCTACCAGTGTTTACAACGAAGAGAGACCAAGTCGAAGAGCCAGGTTTCGAGAAGAGTCCAGCACCTGTGGCAACTCTAAGTTTAAGATTTTTTTTTGCAGACCCTGGTCACGATCTAAGGAGGGCGCGCGTGACAGACTGGGCGGTCCACCGAGTCTCAAACTCTCTCGGTTGCCTGGGTAACGCTGACGTCACCGCGTAGCCTCACGTGCTTGTTGGCAAGAAGCCCATATAACGCAACGCGCAGGCGCCTCGTGAGAGCCAATGGGCGCGGCGGGAATGTTGGCGCGGCTCAGCGCCCCTTTCCGGTCGGATTCAGCGGCGGGCCCGGCGGAGCGGCTGGGAGTGTGTCTGCCTTAGCCGGGCGAGCGGGCGCTTGTCTCTGGCTCCGTGGCTGGGCGCCCCGTCACGTAGGTTACGCACACAAATCACTCCCTAGGGTCCGCCCAGGCAGCTGCGCCCTCCCACACCCGGCACCCCGGGGCGTGGACCACGATGGTGCGAGTCGGGGGCCCGAGATGGAGCTGACCCGTGGCTGAGAAGAGCCTGACCGAGTCGGGGGCCAACCACGAAGCCCTTCCCCGCCCGTGGGGCACTGGGCTCCCGCCCGCGATTTCCAGCCGTCTGGGTCACGCTACTCGCTGGAAGCCCTGAACTCCGTGCCCCAAGCCCAGGGCCCCCTGCGGGAATGTTCAAAAATGAGTATCAGGTAACCCAAAACGGCTCTCCAACCTGTCTGTAGCTTTCTCCTCTTGGGTAAGGTAGCTGCTGTTTGGGGTGAGGGCAAAGCCTCCCCCAAACTCCCATAACATGGTCTTTTTTTTGTGGAAAGAAATGAATGGATGAATGTTCTTGATCCAAAAAGAAAGCGACTCACGTCTGGGCATATGATTTGACTTTTTACCATGTTCAGTCTCCAGCGCAGTGCTTTGCTTCTCAAGGTATATGGATTGCCTGAGATTCTAATTAAAATGCAAATCTAACGCTCCAACCAGACTCCTGAATCGGAATCTTGAGGGCAGGGCCCATACATCTTGAGTTTTATCTAACAAGCGCCTTGAGAAGCTGTAAGAGAGTGAATGAATGAGTGCACGAAGGGAATAAACCAAGAAAGAAAATAAGCACTTTGGCTTATAGGCTGTTTTCTCCAAAACTGGGGGTCAATGATTCTCAGACATTGGGGTTTATTGGGATCACTTAAGGTACTTGTAAAAATGCAGGTTTCCTGACCCTCACCCCAGATCTGGAGAATCAGAATCTCTAGATGGGGCTAGTTAATTTCCCTTTGTAACAGCTACCCCCAGTTCACGCTAATGCAGGTGGTCCAAAGATCGCGGGGAGAAACTGATTCTGGGTCTCCCTCAGTCACCTGGAGTACCCTAGAGTGTCTCCATGCCTGACCGCCTTTCCTCTCTTTGCTGGCATCTCCCTTCCTGCTTTCCCTTGCCATAGTCTCCTGCCCTCCCCTCCCCACCTCTACTTGAGGTTCTGAACACTATTTACAATCTGTTTCCCATCCTAGTCCTACTGTTAGAATGAACATCTTTGTCCCTGTGCGGTGGGAACAGCCCTTCACTGGTCTCCAACTCTGTTGCTTCTACCTTTTCACCAAACACTGCCTGCCTTCTCATGAGTGTCCCGAGAGTGTTCTGCAGTTCTCTTTATTCTATTCCAATTATTAGAATAATTTTAGAGTTTCACTCACTTAATATAGGTAATACATTGTTTTGTTTTTTAAAAAGCATACTCCTACTGTGGGAAACTTGGAAAACAAGAGAAAAAGAAATGGGAAATGGCAGTTTCCTATCTCACCATATATAAGGATTTTTCTTTAAAAAAAAAAAAAGCTCTCTTACATTCATAGTGAAATATGACCTGACCCCAGAAGCTATAGTAATTCTATCCACACACAGTTTGCACATAATACTGCCTAACAAAGAAGGAATTAAATTTCTTAACTTAAGCGATTATGTGTTAAAACTCAGAAGCAAAAATATATTTATATTATTGAGAAAAATTAAAAGCTGAAAATTCTTCACAAAAATCGTACAGATTTGCTCATGTGCTGTTTATAAATCATCCAGGCCGTAACAGAAAACCATATTTAGTCTTTATTTCAGATTCTCAATTTCTTGCAAGAAATTCTTCCTCAGAGATATCATCTTATTTAATTCCTTTCCTTTATAATTAAAGGATATGGAAATTCAGTAATATGTTTAGTGTTTTTACATACCATGTCCCTCCATGTTCTCATGTTTACAGATATGTTTGCATAGCATATCTATAAATAAGATACTCTATTTTTCTTGTACAGATTAAAAATTTTTTATCTGTTCATTTTTTGAGAGAGAGAAAGAGGGGAAGGGAGAGAGAAACATTGACTCATTCATTGCTCAACCTATTCATGTATTCATTGGTTGATTCTTGTGTGTGCCCTGACCAGAGATCGAACCTGCAACCTTGGCATATCCGGATGACACTAACCAACTGAACTACCCAGCCAGGGCCTACTTGTTCAGACTTTATAGATCTCTAAATTAACTTGTATTAAATATACATGATGGGGCAAACGTAGGTTTACATTTGTGAATATGCAAAACACAGTTTATTCTTGTATTATTACTTAATGTATTATTTTCCATATGAACAACTGTAAATCTACTTTTGCCCTACCTTGTATAAAAAGATTTATAGTAATACTCAAAATAAGAATCATTCTTTTCCCTACTCCCTCCCAAACTTTTTGTTGACTAGACTAAACTATTAATTTTCCCTCTTTTGAATAATTATTGCTGGCACTATTGAGCTTTTGCTATATGCAAAGTATTGTGCTTGATGGTTTATATTTACTATCCTGTATAATCCAGCAATCCATTTTATAGATAAAGAATCGAGGTTAAATATCCAAAATCAGATAGTTAATAAATGGCAAAGCTCGTATTGGAGCTCAGACCAGTATGCCTAAAAAGATAATAATTATCAGAATCTATTAGTCTGTGTTGAATGGGATGTTTTGTAACCATGATCTATGCATGTCAAATAAATGAACCTTACACGAAGAGATTGTAAGGTTTGTATGGCACCATTCATTTAATGTTTATCATGCTTTAAAAAAATTTCTTAAACTATTAAGCTAAGGTGACTCAAATGAGAGCTGCTGTGGTTGTATACAATCAAGGTAGAAAGCAGGAGTAACAGGGATCGCGTTTTTTCCCCCAGATCTATTTACCTGACGGAAGCCTGAACAGTGGTTGTTCAGGTGGGTAGTATCTTCTTAGTATTGTCTTTCAGTTTAATCTAAATATTTCATTTTTGTTTTCTAGGGAGGCGCATTTGTTGAAATCTTTAGTGCTCAGGGAAAAAATCCTGGAGCAAAATGGAAGATCCTTGGCAGTCCATCTGTAATTTGGAAAGTAAGTGTGAGAAATTAGAGCCAGTACTATGTTAAATAAGAGTTGTGGAAGTGGGCATCCCTGTCTTGTTCCTGTTCTTAAGGAAAATGCTTTTAATTTTTGCTCATTGAGTATGATGTTGGCTGTAGGTTTGTCATAAATGGCCTTTATTATGTTGAGATATGATTCTTCTATTCCCACTTTGCTGAGAGTTTTTATCAAAAATGAGTGGTGGATTTTGTCAAATGCTTTTTCAGTGTCTATTGGTATGATCACATGATTTTTGTCTTTCATTTTGTTTATGTGGTGTATCACATTGATCGATTTACGAATATTGTACCAGGCTTGCATCCCTGGGATAAATCCCACTTGATCATGGTGTATAATATTTTAAAATATATTGCTGGATTCTATTTGCTAAGATTTTGTTGACGATTTTGGTGTCTGTGTTCATCAGGGATATTGGCCTGTAATTTTCTTTATTTATAGTGTCTTTATCTGGTTTTGGGATTAGGATTATGCTGACCTCATAAAAAGAGCTTGGAAGAAATTCCTCTTGAATTTTTTAGACTAGTTTGAGGAGACTAGATGGTAGTTCTTCTTTGAATGTTCAGTAAAACTCCCCTGTGTAGCTGTCTGGACCAGGACTTTTGTTTGCTGGGATTTTATTGATTACTTCTATTTCCTTAATTATTATTGGTCTGTTTAGGTTTTCTGACTCTTCCCAGTTGAGTTTTGGAATAGTTATGATTCTGAGAATTTGTCCATTTCACCTAGGTTGTCGAATTTGTTGGTATATAATTGTTCATAGTATTTTCCTACAATCCTTTGTATTTCTGTGGTATTGTTACTTCACCTCTTTCATTTCTGATTTTATTAATTTGGGTTCTTTCTCATTGTTTCTTGGTGAGTCTGGCTAAAGGTTGATCAATCTTGTTTATCTTTTCAAAGAATCAGCTCTTGGTATCATTGATCTTTTGTATTGTTTTTTGAGTCTTTATGTCATTTATTTCTGCTCTGATTTTTATTATTTCCTTCCTTCTACGAACTCTGGGTCTTTTTTTTTGTTCTCCTTCTCAATCTTTAAGTTGTTGGATTAGATAGTTTATTAGAAATTTTTCTTCTTTCTTGAGGTAGGCCTGTAGTGCTATGAACTTCCTTCTCAGGACTGCTTTTTCTGTGTCCCACAGATTTTTATTATTGTGTGTTCATTTTTGTTAGTTTCCAGGAAGTTTTTGATTTCTTTTTTGATCTAATTGGTAACCCATTTGTTGTTTAATAACATGCTCTTTAGCCTCCATATGTTTGAATGTTTTTGAGTGTTTTTATTATCATTGATTTCTAGTTTCATGCCATTGTGATCTGAGAAGATGCTTGATATGATTTCAGTAATCTTGATTTGTGTATAATGTGGTTTATCTTCAACAATGTCCCATGTGTACTTGAGAAGAATGTATATTTTGCTGCTTTGGGATGAAATGTTCTGTAAATATCACTTAAGTCCAACTGATCTAGTTCATCGTTTAAGGACTCTGTTTCCTTGTTAATTTTTTGTCTAGAATATCTATCCAGTGGTGTCATGGGGTGTTAAAGTCACCCACTATGATTATATTACTATTGATCTCTCCCTTGAACTCCTCCAGAAATTTTTTAATATATTTTGGTGCTCCTATATTTGGTGCATATATGTTTATCAGGGTTATATCCTCTTGTTGGATCGATCCCTTTTATACTATGTAGTGACCTTCTTTGTCTCTTATTATGGCCCTCGTTTTGAAGTCTGTCTTATCAGATATGAGTATTGTTATACCAGCTTTTTTTTCATTTCCATTTGCCTGGAAAATTTTTTTCCATTCCTTCACTTTCAACCTATATGAGTCTTTTGTTGTGAGGTGGGTCTCTTGTAGACAGCATATATATGGGTCCTGTTTTCTTATCCAATCATCTATATGGATAACTTTTTAAAACTACTATTAATTGAGTTCTTACTGTTGGCCAAGCACAGAATTAAGTATGTATGTTGTGAAATCCATATAGTAGGCTTTTGAGATAGTTACCTTTATGCCCCTTTCATAGATGATAAAACTGAGGCATGGAGAGGGTAAGGAGCTTGCTCACAGTTATACAGCTCTTACTATGGGTAAAACATAAATGATGCTGTGAGAGTATCTAGCAGAGAAATTAGGAAAGGCTTCCCAAGGGAATGACATTTGATCTCTAACAGCTAACTAGATACTGGGTGGAGCTGGTGGAAAGCAGAGCATTTCAGGCAAAGGGGAAATCCTTGTGTAAGGAAAGAGCTTAGAATTTTTAAGAAACTGCAAGAAGGCTACTAAGGCTAAGATGCAGACAGAGGGGAGAGTGCAAGGTAGGAGATAGGGTTTGAAAAACTGGGCAGAGACTGGACTATGTAGGGGCTTCCTGACCACGTTGAAGATTTTGGTATACTGTTGAATGAAATGTTTTAAGTATATGCTTAACTTGTAGAATAAATAATATACTCAGTGTATGTATATTCATTTCAAATACATAGGAGATGCTACTCTGATGGGTATAATATAAATTTATTACAATGTTTCATCTTAACAGCCATTAGTTACAGTGTATTTCTTAACATATATAAAACAAGAGATTGGGAGGATCTGTGAAATATTTTAATATGAAAAAGGGGTTTTTATACTCAAAGATTGGGAATTTGATCCATGAAAAAATAACCTCTACATTACCACTTTATCTCATGTTTTATTTTTTTGTTTGTTTCTCCAACCTTAGTTTTTTAGGTCACCTTAATTGTAGCACTTTATTTGTACTGATTTTAGGTAAATGATATGGAACTTCAAGTTAGAGCACTAGCTTGAAACAGAAGTCAATGATTAATTCTGTATGAACCATGGCTGGAAACCAAGGAACTTTCGGACTGGATACAACATAGGTTAGGTGATTTATTATACTGTAACAGGATATGATGTTCAGCCTGTGCTGTTAGAAATACACAGATTAAAGTAGAGGAAGAGTAAATAAACTCTGGAAACTCAAAATTAGTAACTTGAGAATCCCTATACTAGGAGAACTTTTTATCATTTGGAGGAAGAATACCTTGGTATAATAGAGGATTTGCCAAGTGGCTTAGTGTGGCTTCTATATTCCAGTTCCCAGAAAGTCTCGGGGTAAGAGTGTCAAGGCCTAAGTCACTTTCAACTCATTTAAATCTGGAACTTGTTTCCTGTGAGTGTTCAACTCCAAATATATAATAGAAGCCAAACAAAGTACGCTTCAGTTACCAGTTTTCGTTTTTGTTCTGTAGGAGTTTGATAAAGAAGTTAAAAGTTTTGTGTTTGTCCTGGAAGGCAGCAGCCAGACAAACAAAATTCAGCTGCCAAAGGAGAATAAGCAAATCCGTAAGTAAGATTTTTAATATTGAAGCTTAACATTTGATGCTTGAAATTATGCTTTTAAGTCTCGTACATAGGCATTAGTTTGGCTTTTATTGGCATGTGTTGACATGAAGTGTTAGGATTTTTTAAATTTAGAAAGTAAACTTGTGCCGGGTTTTTAAAAAAGATATTCTGCTTCACTGTTTACTAGATTTCTAGCAGTATTTTGAAGATTTAGAGGATTATTTAATAGCCATTAATTATAATAGTAATGGTACTTATTGAGCATTTACTATAAGCCTATGACTTTCTAAGCATTTCACATTTAACTCTTTTAACCCTCACTGTAGATCTTTTATAGATGAGCACATTGAGGTTGGTTCCTTGTCAAGAAATCAGGTAGTTAAGGCTAAGCTTTGAAATAAACTCAGGAGTTCCTAAATTATAGGAAATTAATTTGTGAGAAAACAATTATGTAAAATACTATAGAAGGCATTATTTAGTGACATATCAACTTACATACCTTTTAAAATATTAATATCTAATAAGTATAGATATTAACATGTGTTTTAACAAAAGCCTAAAGAATAGATTTCAATTCTTATTTACTTTGGAAATTAGGGTCAGCATTTTAAGGCAGAAGAAATCCTGAGAGAGCACCTAAATTTAGGATCAGAAGCCCAGTTATTGGCAGAACTGGGGTTAAAATTTGAGGTTCTGCCACCAAATTAGGCTTTGAGCAAACTGATGTGATTTAAGAAATATAATTTTTCAAAATGATTAATCAGATTTTCATCAACTTTGTCCTGTTTCATTCATAGATGTTAGGTTGTTTAGCAAATGTAAGTAATCAATTAATTTTTACATTCATCATTTACTTATTTCTTCTTTCATTCATTAAGATCATTTATTGAATACTACTGTGTATCAGGTACTATGAAGACTATTCTTGGTACCTAGTTATCTCATTTTAATTCAATTTTCTAAACTTTCATAGACACTGTGCTTTATCCACCATTTCAAGCTATTACATGCCTATTTACATATAAGCTACTACAAGATGATTAATTTAAAAATGATTTGCCAGTGTTTCTTTCTAAAATAAAACAAGAGACAGAACCTCGAATAATCATTGTTAAAATAATTTTTATTAATTTATTGCAATTTTACAAATTATGATTTCCTTATGGTTTCTGGTTTTGTTTTGTTTTTTTAATAGCAGAGTTTCACTTTTACAAAAATGTATACATATAAATGAGATGACATGTGTCTGAAATTGTAGATTGTTCTTCTTACAGGAGACATGTTCCATCTTTTTTAATGATACTGACTTTGTGAGAGAGATACATTTGATTTGCAGAAACCTGACTTAATGTAAGCCAGTGTTCTTTTGTTTTTGTTTTTCTTATTGTTGGCCTATACTTCCATGTGATGCCCTCAGCATCTATGTATATTATCATGTTATTGACAAAATGAAATCACTTCTAGTAACCTTTCTCAGTTGGCTCTGAAAAATATTTCTCCTCTGCCAAAGGTTCAGTGTCTCAAGACAAGTTCACTTTTCCTACTTTTTTAAAAAGGTTTTTTCTCTTTTTTCCTCAGTCCCCCTATCCCTCCCTTTTGTTACTTTTATCTGAAAATTAAAAAAAAAATTTTTTTTTTGATACATGCCCCTAGTGGGAACCGAACATGGGACTCTCTGGTCCGCAGGCAGATGCTCCAACCACTGAGCCAAAGCGGCCAGGGCTTTTTAATTTGTTATAATTACTTTTTAAATAGGAAGATAATAGTTTTAATTGGAAGAAACAGAAGAATCTTTTAATGCATTTTTTTGTACAGTGCCCTGCAATTAAAAATTAATCAGGCTCTTTTGTAACATGTGCAACACTGACAAATGAAACAGTTTATACAGTCTGTAAGATTAATTATTTGTAGTTTTTGTCTAATGCTTTTAAGATTTTTTGTAATTTTTGATAACAGAGCTTTATAGTTATTTTTGCTTGTGTAAAATGACCTTCTGTGTGAAATTGTTATGGTTAAATTAAATAGCATGCCTTGAATAGAGAATTGGCTTTCAATTAATATTTCTAAATTTAGTTCAGTTACCATTATGTATTTCTATTTTAAGAGTAAATATCTACTTTATTTATGTAGATTTGACATTATGTACCTTGTTAATATGATACCTACTATATTATGTACTTCTGAAGAAAATTCAATAATGAAATTTTGTTAACTTAATAATGAAGTATGTTAACTTTTCATTTTAAATAGTAATATTTCTGAATTACATTTGAGCATCTCTAAATATGTCAATGGTTTTTTTGTTTGTTTGTTTGTTTTTCGTTTTACTTAGCATCTTACTAAATCAAGTGATATTAATGATCAGATTGTGCACTTCTCCAGTGCAGGACTTCTGCATCATCTATTTTGTACTCCTACGTTAGTGTATTGTATATAGTTGGTGTTTCATAAATTTGTTGAATTTTTCATATAAAGAAACCGTAACAATTTAGGTTATAATTTCTAAATATAACCAGCTTGCCTTGATGATGAGACATGAGTGAATCATTAGCCAGGTAAAGAAATAAGTCCATGCTGCTCTTCACCGTGGAACATGTTATATAGAGCTGCCTTTATGCGATGCAGCTCTGTCGCACATAAACATCTATCATTTGAATGGTCTGTTCTGGGACTTTCTGTTTGAGGCTCATCTTTGAAACCATTTTTTCTCTGCCTGTGGCATCTGAACCCAATGGTATGTCTTGAGATCAGCATCCTTGAAGCTCTGTGTTAATCTAAGTTTCAGCTGCTCTGGAGGATGAAGTCTTCTTTGTGAAGTTCCTCCCAAACCTCCCCCTGCCTCCACTTTGATATTCTTTTTAAAATAAATTTCATTATGAATTCTTCTATTTAAACCCTTCAATGGTATTGACCTTACCACTCTACTGATAGTGTTCTTGTCAGAGACCCTAGTGATCTCTGAATTTCTGAATCCAATGGCCAGTTCTCAGCCCTCATCTTGCTTAACGCATCAACAGCATTTGACTAGGTTAACACCCTCCTCCGTGATATATTTTCATTCATTTTCCAGGATGCCTACTCCTAGTTTGCTTCCTGTTTCTCTGGTCTTCTTTCTTAGTTTCCTTTCATGGTTCTTCCTCTTCTCCCTAACCTAACTTAATGTTGCAAGCACCTGGACCTAGTCCTTGACCCTCGGCCTACATTTACTCCTTTGTTTATATCTTCTTTGTCTTACTCCAGCTTATATTTTCAGCTCAGACTTCTCTCTCAAACTCCAGACTTGTATTTTCAGTTGCTTACTTGACATTTCTACTTGGACTGCTTTACCCTAGAAATTCCTCCTCCTCCTCCAGCACACAGCCCATCTTGTTACTAACTTGTCTTTTCATTTGCTCAAACCAAAAACTCTTATAATTAGCCTGATTTCTCTTCATTCAGTCCATCAGGAAGATCTTGTTGGTTCTGTGTTTAATTTAGATTCATTCTATGACTGCTACTTCTTGCCACCTGCTACCACCCTGGTCTAAGCCACCATTATCTCATGCTTGGAACATTGCAGTCATCTAATTGGACTCCCTGTTTCTCACTTGCCTCCCGTTGTCCATTTAGCAGCTCGAGTGATACTTGTAAATGCAAGGCACTCCCCTGCTGAAAATGCCCCCTCTCTCTCAAAGTAAAAACCAAAGATCTGTAGGACCCTGCAGTATGGGTGCTCTCTTAACTTCCTAACCTTATCTCCTATTTTTCTTTTCCCTGTTCACTCTGCTGCAACCATACAGGTCTTGCTGTTTTCAAACATAATCTGGTCCTGCATCATTCTAGCACCTGTACACAAGCTGTACCTTCTGTCTAGAGGTTCATTTTCCCAAATGGCTACATGGCTCACACTCCCCTTCTGCAGGCCTTAACCCTGACCTATGCTTTAGATCCTTCCCGCACTTTGGATCCCTTTTACATTGCTCTCCTTTTTCCAATAGCTTTTATCACCATTTACATGCTATCTATCTATCTATCTATCTATCTATCTATCTATCTATCTATCTATCTATCTATCTATTTATTTATTGTTTTTCTCATCATTACCAGAAAGTAACTGCAACCAGCACAGACATTTAGTCTATTTGTTTATCTAGAACAGTGCCTGGCACATAGTAGACATCCAGTAAATCCTTGTTGAATAAATGAATATCTGAGTGGCTTCCCAATTTATTTAAGGATGACCTGTATCCTTCCCATGACCTTCAAGGCCCTGAATGATTGAGTTCCTAGCTGTTTACCAGACTTGTCTCCTGCTGCTGTTCGCCTTCTGTCTTTCCTACCTGCCCTTTAGGCCTTTAAGTTCACCTACTCTGTCTTATTCACTACAAAAACTTCAACACTGTTTTACACATAGTAGATGCTCAATAAATCTTTATTGAATAATAGCTCTAATTTAATCTGTATAAATAATACTATAATTTGTGACTCTAAATTATTGAACCAGTTTTACACATGCAAAGTAGAAGGGCTCAGACAGGTTTTCTCATTTGCCCAAGGGATGTGGAATAACCCATAATGAAGGCATAATCGTTTCCTGTCATCTGTATTGAGGTGGAGAGGTGCAGCTTAGTGTGCTGTTTGTGTCAGGGCTGTCTTTGGGACCAGCATGATTTATCAGGCACTGGTAAAGGATGACAGTCCCAAGTCTTTGGACAATGTAACACTTTTTAAATGTATATGAGGTATACAACTGTAATTTTATATAAGGAGACAACTGTAACACCACTGTTTAAACATCTAATGGTATTTTACCAGATAAATGTGTTTTAAAATATTCTGAAGAAAAAGGACCTGACCCCTTAAAAAGAGAGGTAGTTTATCTCAGGCAGAGAAAAGATTATAAAACTGCAGAAACCTGCATATTTCAATAAAAAGACTAAATTTTTATGAATTTTATGTAAATAATGGGCTTTTTTATTTATTTATTTATTTTTTTACTAACAGCAGTTCCATATTCGGCATTACTTACAATGATTTTAAATATGTAGACATGAACAGTCCATTTGAATTTGCTAAGCCACTGGAAAAATATTATAGAGTTTATATAGCTTTTCTGACACATAGGATCAGGGTATGTCAAACGTTATTAAAGTACTTTTTTCTTTGTCAGATCATCACCATATAGTATTGTCATACTTCTTTTAATCTTAGAAGTGGAGCTTTTTGGAAAGTAGGGCTTCTCTATATGTGAGAAAGTTGAATTACAAAGGTTTCTTTTTTGAGGGCAAGTGCCTTTTATATCTAAAAATGTTCATATAAAAATGCCCTGTGTGTGTAGCTCTTTGTGTTTGAAGAGAACAGTGCTGATTCAGTGAGATTTGTGACATATATTAGGGACCTTTTGTAAAGACTGCATTTCATTTCTCCTGGTGCTCTCTCAGCTCTATTTACAGAGGCCATTGTGCAGTGGAAGAATACGAAAGGGCCAGTCAATGTAAGATGGAAGAGAGATATAGATTAACGATGGCTTATTTAAGTCACCTCATTTTGGTTTCTTATTTTGGTTTTGTAGTCCAGGACCCTGGTTGCCTCACTGGCTTTTCCCATAAATATGGTAGATCTGACTTCTAGAGAATTTTCTAAGGTCAGAGCCTGCTATGCCCTATTTTTATTACATTGTTTATTCTACAGATGGCGCTCTGGTGCATTTTATTAAAATTAGTGTTTTTGGTTGTTAGTTCATTTGTTTGTTTTAATCCTCACCCAAGGATATGTTTTTATTGATTTTTAAAGAGAGGAAGGCGGGGGAGAGAGAAACATTGATCAGTTCTCTCCCGTATGCGCCCGACCAGGAATCACAACCTTTCAGTGTACTGGATAATTCTCCAACTGAGCCACCAGGCCAGGGCAGCTTGATGTTTTCAGCAAGAGTTTTCCTTGTATGTTTGATTTAAAAAGGGTAAACGTACTTGATCAAATATGTTTATTGTTTAGAAACTACATTTCAAGTTGTTCAAAAATGTTGTTAAATAGTTTACCAAAGGAATTATAAACCAGAAGGTCTTAAAATATATAAACATGTATTATTACTTTAAAATACTTAAATTTGTTAAGCCTGCTAAGTCAGAATAAATAGGAAATAACATGTATTTTAGACCAGTTGTCTTCTTTTAGTCACATGTTAGCCCATACTATGAGATTTGTAGAAGAGGTCAGATAAATCAAGACATTTCCATATTCTGCCCAAAGTCCCACATCAGGAAAAAAGTTCCTAAAAGGTATGTTTTGGGAAGTAGTGATACTAAAACATCCATTAAGAGCATCATAAAGGAGAGATCAAGCAGAAGTTCAAAATCTAAGAGGAAAGGAATTAAGTGAATGAATCAGAAGAGGTAACATGAAATTAATTTATTTTAAAGCACTTATAGACTTCATCTATGAAAAATGCCATGGGGTTTTTCTCCAACTATTTTTAATAAAGATGAAGCTGGTGATGGGAACTAAAAGTTATCAGTTCTTTATTTGTGAGTATTAGATTAATTAAAAATGTGTTAAATTAGCAAAAGGTATTATAAATGAAAATATGTTTCTCCATCCATATTTAAAACCATATAAATTAGATATGGCTCATCAGACCTTCAGATGTAGTTGTTAGAATTGTTTTTCTTGATCTGTTTTTTTTTATTAAGTTGTTTAGTACAGTTAAAACTGTCAGTGAATAAAAATAATTGACACATGCCATTTATGACTGCCTTGATGGGAATCTATAGTTCAGTTTTATATGACTGCAGTTCTATGTATACATTCTCTCAAAAACTATTAAAAATAGTAAATAAAAAAATTATTTTAAAAATTTTTATAAAAATGTCACCAAGCCTACAGATGGGACTCTAAAAGACAACATATGTTGTTCGAGTTTGATTTAATTTTCATTAATTTTTTGCTTTCATAATGAGGTTGTAACTCACGGGCAGTACTATTGCAGTTCTTTGTATTACTGAAGTGCTAAAAGCTCAAGCTTGTTGGTGGCCTTCGAGTATGTTTGTTTATATGCACACATAAATGGGTTGGACATGTGAATGTATCTTTCCCCTCTCGTTCTAGTTGGACTGATCCAGAGGTTTCTTGTACTTCAGATTTACATACCCATGGGACAGGACTTCTCCACTGAATTGCTGTAAGATATACTGAACTTCTTTCAGTGTTTTACATATATTAGACATTTGATCAATTAAAGCAATACGAACAGTCATTAATTATAAGTGGCAGTTTTTGCATTAAAGAGCAGTGACTTATCAAGTTGACATGAAGTAATTAAACTAATTTAATCATATTTCTTAGATAGTGCTATAGTCTGGCATTTCCCTAGGGGAAAGAAGCAAATTTTATCTGTTTAAGAAAATAACAAAGGATTATGAATTTGGTAATAAATAGTATATAACTTGAAGAAATAAATAATTCAAAAGTTTGAGATTTTGGTTCAAATAAGGAGAAATGTGATGTTTTGTGCTCTCTGCTATTCAGAACTATGTTTGGTTCTCATTTTAATGTTGTTTAGTTTAGAAATATTGGTCCTATCTGTTTACGTATAGATGGGTTGGAATGTATTGTTTTAAATGACCTTTCTATAAACAGATTGTTTAGTAAAAATGAGAATATACAACTTTTACTCAGTTGTACTATTATCTGAGATAATTCTGAAAATGAAAACATTTGATTTGTAAACTTAAAATTGAATATAGTTTAAGATTTAATTAATACAGGGTGGGGCAAAAGTAGGTTTATAGTTGTTCATATGGAAAATAATACAATAATTAAATAAATAATAATGCAAGAATAAACTCTGTTTCACATACTCACAGCTATAAACCTATGTTTGCCCCACCCTGTAAATATGTACACTTTTGTTACAGCATTACATTTAAGGTATACTATTTTCTTTTCTTTCTTTTTTTTTTCCCCTCACCTGAGGATATTTTTCCACTTATTATCAGATAGAGTGGGAGGGAGGGGAAGGAGAGAGAATGACAGAGAGAAACTTCGATGTGATAGAGCCACATCAGTTGGTTGCCTTGCAAGATCCGACCAGGGCCTCGGACGAACCGCAACTGAGGTACCGGCCCTTGACCGGAATCAAACCCGCAACTCAATAGTCCGTGGGCCGACATTCCAACCACTGAGAAATTGGCCAGGGGTCTTTTGTTTTGTAATTAATAACTGTCCAAGGTTTCTTAAAAAGCATAGGCTTATATTTTTTTTGCTGGGATAAATGACTTTTCCTATTATTGCAGGTAATTTTGTACTAGTTACACTGATACAAACCAAGAGAAAGGAGAAGCTTCCTTAATAAAATGGAAATAACAAAAATTTGAGGATATTCATTTTCTTTGTTTATGTGAATTGAAATATTAACAATTTGTGCAGATGTTGGTAAAATATAAATTTTAACTAATAACATACAATATTGTTTTCTTGACTGACAAAGGGTGGATGGAACAATTTGTACCTTTGTTTTGTTCAACTCTAAACCTCAGTGAACGTCTAAGATTTTCTATTATTGTCTGCCTTGGTTACCAAGATTCTTTAAAATAGTTCTCATAGTAATAGAACCAAAACATTATTTGATGCTCTTAAATATCTTTTTCTGTTTCTGCAGAAAGAGCATTTTTAAGACTAACGGCGTTCTACTTGAACAGAGAGTTCCATGTAAAGCTTTATTTTTAGTGTAAGGGAAATGATTTCTTACCAAGTGGAAGAAGACGAATTATATTGTTAAGTTTGTTAAGTTTCTTGCATGGGAATCCAGCTCGGCACCTCTTACTCTCCTGATCTCTACCTCTTATACTTTGAGATTCTTCAGAAGCAGTGGCGGGGCACTGGTGGGTGGCCTTTCAATAAAAGCTGTGCGAGACACTTGGCCGAACCTTTGGCTATGAGCACTCTTTTTCTATAACAAATTAAGCTTTATTTGTGCCTCCAAACACTTGAATTTATCACCTTAGCCTAAGCAAGATACTGTTTTAACTAATTTAATAATAATTAAAGCTTTAATTTCTAAGAAATTCATAGGTATCTTAGGCTTTCCTTAGTCCCAGCAAAAGAACAACTTTTATAAGTAAGCCTGACTTGTTAGCCTTTTGTTAATACTGTTGGCCTGTTAAAGGATGGGAAAACATTTTCAGAGTTGATGGGATTAGGGGTTAGGTTTTGAATGCAGTTGACTATAATCATAGATTCTTGTGTTCTCTTATCCACATGAACATTTAGATTTTCCAAATGATTTTCATTTTAGCAAAATAAATATCTTATAAGACACAGGTCAAAATTATTAAATAACATAGGGAAGACATTCTCTCTCCTGACATTGTGAATTTATTAAATTATAGGAAGATATATTATCTCCGCATTTGAATTTGTTGCTAATAGATAATCAAAATATTTTACTGTGTTAGGAAGTAATGACAGAGACCATGTTTTTACAAGGAAGAAAGTAGAATAATGAGTATAGTTTGTCTTTCTAACTACAGCTTTTTTCCCCTCTAATATGAAAGGACTTTTAGCACCTTTTGTGTTTTACCGTATTTCTAGCAGCATACCTCCAGGCCATTTTAAATAATACATTTCTCCCACAAGCGTGGAAAGTCACACAGCCGAAAGATAACTGGCTTCTAAAATTTTCCATTGTCAGAGTGGGAGAGGCATTTTGTTTTACAAAGAAATTTTCACGCATCAAGAGATTTTCATAAGTGGAGTCTTGCCAGCTGGTTTATTAATTTGATAATAATTTCTCCAACACCTTCCTGTGTCTCATGCACACTGGATGAGGTCATGCGTCTGTGCATTAGTCGATGTCTCAGTACCAGCAATAGTGCTGCTTGAGAAATCAGTCAACGAATTATTGAGTTTCTGTTATTGTCAGGCAGTGTGTTAGGCTTGGGGGAGTCAATGTACATTGAATCTGTACACTTCTGCCCACCCGTACTGAATCCTCCTTGTCCCAAACCACCATCACATTCCCCGTGATCTGCTGTTAGAGAATTCCAGTGGATTTCCCAGATTCTTCTCTTGCCCTTTATCAATCTCGTCTCCACATTACAGCTAGAGTGAGCGTTCTAAAAACAACTGTAATTTCCATTGTACTGAAAATAAATGCCCAAATCTTCTAGTAGCTCACCTCTCCCTTATCTCATACCATTTGTCAGCTATGCTAGCTCCTTTCCATCCACACTGGCTTGTCCTTCCTCACATACCAGTGAGGTCTTTTCTTAGGGTCTCATGTGCAAGTGGTTTAAATCATTTCTTTGCCCGGCTGGTGTAGCTCGGTTGTAGTGTCGTACTGTGCATTGAAAGGTTGCCAGTTCAGTTCTGATTCCCTGTCAGGGCTTGTACCTGGATTGCAGATTCAATCCCAGTTGGGGGTTCATAGGATCAATGTTTCTGTCTCTCCCTTCTCTCCCTCCCTCCCTCTCTCTCTCTAAGCATGACCTCAGATGAGGATTAAAAAGAAAACTTATTTTTTTGCGTTGGCTACTCCTACTCAGCCTTCTCATTACAGCTGTGTTCCATTCTTCAAAGAGGTTTTCTTTGATTCCCTAACTAAATGAGTTCCGTCTCCCATGTTCTTTTCTAACACCCTGCTCTTTTCCTTTATTACAACTGTATCAGTTTATACTTACATTTTTACTTCCTTATCTGTCTTTTTTAGTAGACTTTGAGTTCCATGAGGACCAGGACCCTGCATAATATCTCAGTCCCGAACAATGCCTCGCACCGAGGCTCTGAAATCTGGCTGAGTGGGCAGGAGTTGACTAATGGACTGAAATGAATAAGCAGGGCCCAGTTTCTGTCCTCATGTAGTTTACTCTGAGGGTGAAAGATCATTTGAAAGCCAATGTAAATACATCTCAATAAATGATGATGACGTAACATGTTCCTATGGGGACAAGTGTGAAGTATGAGGTAGAAGTAAGCGTATGGGCTTGCAACTGGACAGATCTAGTGTCAAATCCTGCTTTGTCCCTTTAGAACTTTGGGCAGATTACTTAACTCACCTTAATTGTGGGATAAGAGTAATAATACCTACCTCAGAAGTGTCGGAATTAAGAAGTACAAATTGGTTGTTAGACTGATGAATCTCAAAGGGAAGGGGGGAGGAAGGGCAGGATGAGATAAACCAAAGAACTTCTGTGTGTATATGCATAACCAGTGATCACTAATAGTGTGGGGAAGGCAGGAGGGGGACGGGATTGGGTAGGAGGGGGTCAATGGGGTAAAAAGGGGGCGATGTCTGTAATACATTCAACAATAAAGATGAGTTTCTTAAAGAATTCAGTGGGTATAATGGCTAACATTTATTAAGCATTTACTAGATACTGAGCTTTGCTCTACCAGGGGTAGGGAACCTTTTTTCTGCCAAGGGCCATTTGGATATTTATAACATTATTCAGGGCCATACAAAATTAACTTAAAAATTAGCCTGCTATCTTTGGTCAGGTTAATTTGGTCAGGTGTTTGATGTTAGCTGGTTTTGATTTCACAGACCTATGCGCCCAAGGCCCAGATGTTCCCCACCCCTGGGGGGGGGGGGCACTTTAATTGTTTTATTTCAATTAATCTTTAAAATATGTAATGATAATTATTGCCTCTGTTTCACCATTGGGAAACTGAAAGGTCAAGGAATTTGCCAGAGATTATAGACCTACTTACTAACTCTTCAAATTTGTAGTTTAAATCTTGATCTTAGCCAAAAGGCTGAGAAGTGGTAGTGTAGTATAAATCTCGAACCTGTGCTCTGTCCCACCATGCCTTGCTGCCATACTTGTAAACATTATTATTTTCAACAGTGCATAGGTATAGGTGTAGTAGGTATAGTTTATTGGAAACTTGGTACAGGATGAAGGTGCTAAGGCTTCTGCACTTTTAGGTGCTCCTCATAATACATTGTTACCATTCAAGTTCCAGCAAGGAAAGGTCTTTCATTGGAGATGTTCCTATTTCTATCTTGACCCTTCTAAGGAAAAATAAATGCCTGAGAGTTAAAGGAATAATTTTACCCATATCTTTTTTGTTTTAGTACTTTGCGTCTCAGATGTAACAATACTCACATTACACTTGAGAGCTAAGAATCAACTTTACTTATTCTCTATTGATTGTTTACTTTGGTTCATACCAAGGCCT